GGTGTTTTATTGTCGGTTGCCTTTCAGGATGCCCGGTGTACAACAGGCGGTGGTTGGCTGTCTTTCCAGAATTTGTTGGTGAACGCCCACAGCCCAGCGGCCCCAAAAGCGACGTTGTTTTTTGCTTGGGGTGCTGCTTTAGTCGCCGTTTTGCTTCACTGTCGGAACAGGGACGTAGGCGCCACACCCGGCCACCTGCTGCTTCCCAGTTTGAACTGGTGACCTGGGCAACGTTTGCGAGCTTCTCAGCCCCTGGTGCGAGTAGTCAACGGGCTGTCAACCCAGAATGACCCGGAGTGCTAAATAGCACATGATTTCCAGCTTCCACAAAGGAAGCCAAAAGGGCTGTAAATTTGCATTTCTCCCTTCCCCACTTTAGCGCCCGGATCTAAATCGTAACACAGGCTTGGTCTACCGATGATAAATGCGCAACGAGGACCACCACTCTGCACGCGAGCAGTTTTGTGTCGCGGTTTGGTGCCAAAGCCAAAAGTTGATTCGCCTTCCCGAGCCAGATGACCCAAAGTGTGGCACTCGCAACTCACACTCGTTTTTGGCGAAGCTTCTTGTAGTTTGTGAGTTGAGCGCGCAGGAAGGTAGCCTTTGGAACAGAGGTTGGGGTTATTTGAGTTTGTTTTGCCGAATAGCCAGACAACAGGAGCCAAAGGACACGAATATGTGTTGTTCTGGGTTGTTGTTTCGAGACCCTCTAGTTCACCCCGAGTTTTGCAACAACTTTTCAGTCATTATTTATGCAGGCATTCGGCATGGCCCCCTTTTTTCCTCCTGGCTGACACCCTGTGCATACCTTTTTTTGGTGGGGAACCCCTCAACAGTTTAGTTCAGGACCTTTCTGGCCATCGCTGTACTTGCGAATGTACAGGGGCGACCTTTCATCACATCTTGTTCTGTAGTTTAGTGTGTGCTCCCAGGATCCCTTTTTGAAACCTTTGGACTGGACTGCCCAATGGATGACTTGGTGCGCTACTTGCCATTTTAGAGGGTCATTCAGCGGCGCCCAGGGTCCTTTGGCCAGTTTGGTACTGCCATGGTTCATGGGGGTTCCAAGATGAATTACAGTCTTTGAGCCATCTAAGAAACCAGCTACAGGAAAATGCTTCAAAGCATCCCGGTTTCGCCGGTTTCTATGAAGCCACAAGTCACAGGGGCTTTTGGCCGTCCCAGGAAAACCGGCCATGGTGGCAGGCGAGAAGGGGGCGAAGTGTCTCGCGGACATAGAAACGCTCATGGAATATGTCACTTGAACAGACCTCTTTGGAAGACTGTCTGTCTTGGAAAGGAACCTGGGAGAGTTCCGGCTTCGAAGCCAAAGGCAAACATATGGAGCCCATTGGTTTTTGGGCAAGGGTGGGGGGGCCGGGGGCCCATTCGGAGACAATTTTATGCACGAAAGACGGTGCCCTGCTGGTGCTTTGCTTTGCATGGAAAGGGATGTTGGTGGTATCACTTGGCCTTTTTGCTGGGAGTCTGGAAAAGGAAAGTCACAGGTCTTAAAAACTTGTGTAGCTTATGCAAGTGCCTGCTACTTGTTATGCAGTGAAGCTTGTTTTCTCCTCAAGGCCGAGGAGAGGCCAGCGAATCCTTTGAAGGTTTGGCGCAACTCCCTGGGATGTCCAAACACATTACTCCGCACCGCTTCAAGCCATCGCCAGACTCAAGTATCATTGTTGCCCAATCCTGGCGCGCCTTCATTGCTCCTACCCGCAAGTTGGCATTTTTCAGGGGGTGAGTCGTTCAGAATGAGGTGACTGTGAGCACCCAGTGGTGTTTTTGTCTACGCGTTCTGAGTTCTTGTCATTCAATTTGTAATGAAGGATGAGCTTTGCCGCTTCGCCAATGGTGTTTGCCTTTGGAATTGTTGCTTTTCCTTGCAGTGAGATTGCCAACGCGCAAACTGTTCCAGTTTGTAGTCTAGCAACTGGAGGTTTCCAAGCACCACCCAGACAAATCAGCTCATGAAACGAGCTGCGAGCTTTTATCAGCCACTTCACATGGCCATTATCTCGCATTTGTATGACATGCTATGCACACTGTCAGGAACCACCAAGATGAAACAGCTGCCATAGACATTTGGAAGATATGGTTCAGGAAAGAGCTGTTCACTTCTCAAGTTTGCCCTGTTGATTGGGAGGATAATTTTAAGTGGTCCAAACCTGAGATTTGGTTTGGCCATTTCGTCCGGGAAGGGCGTAGACCCGCCGGATTCCTTCGACCCAAACAAATCGCAGGGCGGGGCTTCCGTCAAGGAGCACCAGTCGCGGGTCCAGGCCAGTCTGAACCGCAAGCACCCACCTCAAAGGGTTCCTCTGCCCAAAGCGAATCGACGTTTTGGCTTTTGGTTTGTTATTTGGGTCCAGTTTTAGTCGGCCATTGCTTTTTTGTCATCAGTTTTAGTCCGTCATTTCACTTGATCGCCACGTGTGGCAGATGGTTGGGGCAGATGAATGGACACACATGGCCCAGACAAGTCTCACATAGCGTTTCGGAAGTCAACAGACGGAGCAGCTGTGATCAGGAGGGCCACCACAATCGAGACTAGGCATGTCAAGCTGCCGCTCAGAAATGGGGGGCATCTGAACATTTTTAAGGCGTGCCTGCGATCCATGACCAGAGGACTCCTTTGGGCTGCGACGTAAGGAGATGACATCAGCGCCTCAGCCAGGTCCACGCCGCGTGTTTGGCGTGTCTCTTGTGTAGGCAATCTGCGAGGCCATCTTTCAATCAGGAGGCGCATAGCAGGCACTGGCCGTGTGAAGGCTCCAAACTATATCCAACGAAGCGGTGTGCAGCTGGTATATCCACAATAAGAAGAGACGTCATACACTTCACCGGTTCAGTGAGAAGAAGCCCTCAAAAGGTACATTTAATGGCCAGCTAATTCAGAGATATTTGGAGGCTCCAAATCAGGTTTGGCTTCCCAAAGCGGGGCCAGGGGGCAAAGGTCCCAATATTACTCCCAATGGGTGGGTTTAAACATCCAGGCCTTTGGCGAGTTTCCTTTGAGGGTGATATGGGAAACGGGTGCACCACGGACCCACAGGTGGCTCACCTCAGCCCAGCGGAAGACTGCAGCTGCCTTCTCAGCTCGAGCCGAAATGCTTGGGATAGGGTTTAGGGGTGGGCATCTTCACTTGAAGTGTGGCCCAAGAATTGCATTTGTGTTTTTCAGCCGAGAAAGATGGGGCATCCTTCGGAAGATTCTTCAGATGGGGCGCAGTAGTCAGTATTGTTTGGAGACAGCCGAGCCACTGAAACGGCAGCACGTTCCCGTGAGAAGCTGAAACGTATGTGTGTGTGTGTGTGCTGAGTTAGCTTCAACCAATCAAGTTGTAAGATCTTAGCTGGATGCCACACTGGGGAGCATAAAGAGCTTGTGCTCCCAGCTATGTTGATGTTGGTTGACTTTCTTGGAATCCAGAAGACAGCGAAGCCACGACGACGTGGCTTCAAGATTTCGACCAATGTCCTTTGTGTCAAGAGCTGCGTCTTATTCATGTGGCCATGCTGGTAGGGGAGCTCTATGCAGAGTTTGAAATTCCAAAGCTATGCTCGCCACTTTGGACCAACATATCACATCAGGACATGTGTCGCCCGTTCAACCTCGGCGTTCTCTCCATTTGGCGGCTTCCCAAAACGTCAGGCGCCGAGGACGTGCGGAAGGTGCTCTCGCACTTGCCCACCAGCGCGCCGCCAGGGGCCCCGAGTGCAGCAAGGGGGTGGCAACGGGTCAGCAAGTCTCGGACAAGTTGCCGTCGGAGTCACCACTGCGTCGTCAATTGTTTTCCATTGCCGCGGCAACTTGGAGACTGCTTTGAGCGTGCTTTTGGGTGGCTCATGCCGGCCAAGAAAGCGTCTCGCTGATGTTTCTTGTTCTGGATCTCGTCAAGGGCCGCAACCATTCCTTGGCCGTGGACAACCATTCTTTGAAGACCACGCAAGCCGCGGAGGCTTGTTGTCCTGCATTCTGGTGGCCCCTTTGATGTGAAAGATGGTGTCATTATTTTCCTAGCCTTTGATGTTTTTTGAGCAAGCACCGGTCGCTACCGGCGTAGTGTCATGTGATGTCCTATCGCTTTCCCATTGGGGGCGGGAAGGCTCGTTTGGGCCACGGAGCCTCTCCAGCGTTAGCCCTATGGTAGCATTTGGCACCTGTCATAGTCCGGTGGCTTTTAACGAATGCCTGTGTTCTCAGCTCGCTCAGCAGGAAGCCAAAAAAGTATTAATATTTTTGCGTGTTTGCCAGTTGCCCGACTTGCCACCAAGTGGCCAATTTGGGAGTTCAGGTGAACCTGAAAACTTATGATGCGATGGCCATTCCAATCGCTGCATAACTCAATCTACTGGAAAAACAAACAAGTTGTCGGAGCCATTTGTACAGCCGCCACAACATTGGGCCCTGAGTTCTTGCCTACTTCTCAGTTGGGCATGGCCAAACTTGTTCCATCCTTTCCCTGGCCATGTGGCCAGTGGCTTCAAGTTGCTGGGGACTGCAAGGACACACGTATTGGATGTCTTCCACCCTGAGCGCCCGTGGAAACCTAGGTGGATTCATCGGGCTTGTCATTGGGGGTCCTTGTCCCTCTAAGGGTGCTTTGAATCCCTCAAAATCTATCGAGGGCACTTGGACCCTCTGCAATTTTTACACTGCAACTGGCTGCGGGTATGACATGATTCTTATAGTTCCCACGAACAGTACATCTTCACTGAAGAGGTGCATCCTGACCAGTCCCAGGGTTCCACAACAGTGGCCGTTGGGTGTCGCTGGCGCTCGAGTCACCTCCCGGCCGTTCAGGCCGACCCAACGGCACATGCTGGACATGTCAAATACCTGAAGAACAAATGCCAGCTGCGGTAAACACAGCCAGACCAGCTCCAGGCTTCTCAGATTTTGCTCTGAAGCTTTCTATAGCGACGCCGCTTGACAAGCAGCTAGGAGGTAACACCTGCAAACCTCATGCGACGCTCACTTTGCCCAGCGAGCCCCGACCCAAAGTCTCTTGTTTTATTCTCTCACTGCTGATGGCTGTTCGCTGAATGGACTGGGCGCAAGCATGCCGCCGGAAGATGGTAAAGATGAGGTGCAGAAAGAGACGCTCGGCGCAATCAGTGCGAGGTTGTTTGATTGCAAGAGGTTGAAGGGTTGAATCAGTATCACTATCAAAAGCCGAAGTCTCGGGCTTGGAATCCTTTTGGAGGGAGGCTCATGCCACTCCTTTGTTATGCGTTTTCACACCAATGACGCATCGTGTTTCGCAGATCACTACCTGGCGCATCTTGAACTCATGCAAAGCAAGTCATCGAAGAGGCCAAGCATGCTGGTTGTGCATGGCAAAGTCAGGTTTATTGATACATGTGTTTGTGAGGATGTTCTTTGCTTCCAAAGGAAGTTAGCCGGAAACTCTGGTTTCCGGTAGAATATCCAGCACTTGCCTTTTGTCCCACAAAGCCCTCTTGACTCAGCCGATGCCCACGGAATCCTAAGGGGAACCCCAGAAAGATCAACCCCCTGTTGATCAGCATGGCTCATGGAGTGTTTCATAGTGATAGACCATGCATTCTCCCCTTCTCTGCATGATATGCATTTGTCTGAGAAGAGGATTCTTTCCTGGGGCCTGGCCACATGAGCAACGGATAAAACGTCCATGGTTCATTTCCTAGCGAATCGGCAGCCGGCAGGTAGGCGGATGTAAGTTGCTTTGGCCCCTCGCAGGTCTACAGCACAGAAATCAGCACAAACTCTTCCCATGAAGGATTTGAAACAAATGCTTCTATTCCCGCGAGCGTGAGCCTGTGAGTCAGGGCGTCCGGAAGCATGCTGCTTGATTTGGTTCGACCACGGACCAACAGTCCCAAATTATAGCGACCTCAGCTTTTCACACGACCCCAGGTGTGATCAATTTTTATTTGGATGGGAAGGTTTGAAATATACAAGGCGGCTCTCTTTCTGGATGCTGAACAGCCTACCAGCATTTTCCCAAATGGAAATCCAAGAAGGATGGATAGCTTTGGGTTCTCCATACCCCTACCTAGCTTTGCATCTTACCTGTGACCGCCACCTGCCGCATGGCGCGCAGGAAATACTCCGGGCTTCGGCTGACAGGACGGCTTTTCGTGGTTGCAGTGGGGGACGTCCGAAGGGCTTTAGATGACTGGTGCATCTCGTTGGTTCACATGCGGCCTAGTGACCAAGTGGCCCAGTGCCAGTTCGTTTGGTTTTTGCAGATGTGCCAGGATAGAATGAGGGGCATGAGGCCACTCCCGGGGTTCCTAGAAACAGGGGGTAGCGCCCAATGTTGGCTCTTGGCCATCCAAATGGCTGGTGCGCCTCTCGAGGCCTCATGTCTGTTTGCCCAAGGAAAGCCTCACGGGTGCAGTTTTGGCCGTGCCTTCCATGGGCGCCGCATATGATGTGCGATTGACAATTTGCTAGTCAGGGTTCCAGTATGAACCGTGTGATTTGTTTGTTCCGTTTTGGGACCCTGTTGGAGCAGCGTTGCTCCTGACAAACGATACTGCTTATTCAAACGATCTTGCACAGCTGATGGAAGAGCTCAATTTCTACCTGGTGCTCCATGTTTTACATCTCCAACTGCGATCGGGGAAGCATCCATATTGGTTCCAATTGTCGGTTGCAAGCCAGGCCTCACGTATGACACAGAGCTTTAAACTGAAGCAGCTTGCCTCGGATCACCAGTTAGTTGCTGATTGCTTGCCTGGGCGTTTGTACAGCCCATGTTCCCCTAGGCACGGTGCCTGTTTCTTTCCTAGGGGGGGTTCCAGTAAAGTCAAGTTACGACAAAGGGGGGCTTTTTCCCATGGCCACTCAGGAGGTTCTCATTTGCAATGCCGCGCAGGTAGAACAATCTCTGCGCGGCGCTGGGATGAACTTATGACTGGCAAGAGGCGGGGAAGAAGTGGAGGCTATAGTTTTAGGGTGGGCTATACGGAAACGGAAAGGGCAAAGATGACCCATTTTGGGGGTCCCTCATTTATAGAAATTCATATGTACCCTTTTCTCGGAACCTTTAGCTGTTGTCTTATTTTCTTTGTCGGCTGTGATCAGGACTGTGCTGTACAATGGATTGCGATAGGCCCAGGCATGCCGCTCCTTGTTTCATTGGCTCCCATTATACGTGTGCATGTTTTGTTTCAGCGTTTGGCCTTTCCAACCTTTCCAGTATTCTACTCGCACAGCCTCAAAACAAGGACCTAAGTGCACGGGTAGAACATCAGCGCTGGGTCCTCTTGGTTTTGATCTTTCCCATTTCCAGGTGCCAGCTTTCTACCTGCGAAGCCCTCTTGAAGGCTTCTGGAACCGGGCCCCAGAAGCGCGCGATGAAAGAGGTCGGGTCAGTTGGAGCTTTTGTGCCATTCTGCATGAGGGCCCAAAGAAGCAGAGGATGGGCAGAGAAGAATCCTGGTTTCCAGGAATTCCCCACGGTTTATTGCTTCTTCATAGGGGTTCCTGTTGTGTGGCATTAGCATGTGAATCATAAGCATGTATAATACATACGTGCATGTAACTGTTGTGTACACAATGTATCTATATATATATATATATACCACACTGTGTATATATAGGTACATATTTACAAAGCTATATATGTATATAGGTGTGCATGTATGCATACTGTTGTTGCACATGTGTATACGTAACACTACTCTATTCACATGTTTGTATGCGTGCTATCATGGTGCATCATTGCATCATTCGCGTATACGTCTCCGCGCGTTCCTTGCAGACATGACCGCTAGGTACACTTCCTTTAGCTCGCTGCCCAATGCCGACACCCAAAAGGCGGTGGTTGCCATTGGTGTGCTTTACGTGCCTCGGCCTCACTGGGTGCCCGGAAGTATTTGAGGAGTTCTCAAACTTAGACTGCATATGTATGTTTTTTCGTAGTTGTTGGTTCCGGGTTGGAGCTGTGGGTGTTTGAACCCTCCATCTTGTTGAGGGTAGATGGGAAGGTTCTCTCTAGGCCTGTACCCTCTGTTCCTTTTTCGGAATGGGGGATTCCCTTGGGGCAACTACCAAACATGGGTCCTCTTTTTTCCCACCACGCTGCAAAGGGCCGGAATTGGGCCTTCAAATTATTGAGTATCCCCTCAACCTCCAGATGAGAGGGTGGCCATGCTTTGTAATTGCCTCTAGAAAACCGAGGATGGTTGCAGATCTAGCTTTCATAGTTTCCGTCCGGAATGCTTAATTTCATGTGAGCTGCCTTTCAAAAGGGAGCAACAGAGGCCTGCAGCATGGGGTGACCGCAGTCAATCATGTTTTCAGTAGCAGGTTAGGATGGACTTACGGGCCGCACGTCAAGCAGAAGCCAGAGGATGCTGATAAAGTGTTGAGGACGGTTGGGGCATGCTTGTAGGCTCCGGGTTATGCGTATACACCATTGTTCTGTTGTACAAAGCACTCCGAGCATCTACCATTGTTTTTGAGTAGGATGTGATTGAGCAACATTCCTCACATGCTTGGCTCTCTTTGACTTGCATTCAGGATGCAGTGCCTAGGTACGTACGTCAGTTCAAAATGCTACGATGTGTGATATGCAGGTTTTGAGGATTTCTGCTACGTGTTCCCTTTCAGTTGCAAGGGCAGGAGTCCGCACACGTGTTTAGTCCTCATGTTGTTTGTGAGTTGTTCAAAGCTGAGACATGCTGGAATTAAGTAAGAATTCTTGCATTGTTGCTGATAAACTCAGACATTCGCTTCAGGATTGCCAATGGGGCTCGATCTGTGAACAGCTGCAGTTCCAAAGGAATGGTCGATGCAGGACAATCGCCTGGCAGTAGAGAGCCTATTTATGTTGTTTTTTTCAAGCCAAAGGGAAACAGTGCAAGTTCACCAATTGGCAGACAAGACCATACAGGTACTTAGTCAATGCGCATGCTTGACGGTAGTGTAAGTACCAGCGACTCCATGCGCAGCACCTTGAAGAGGTTCCATGACGAAACAGCACATACATGCATATGCTGCAAATCTGTGTTCCAACAATCATGGAATCGGAGAGCGGGATTTTGGCAGAGTTGGGGCCTCTTGGAAAGAGGGTATACACAGAGATGCGCACGCGTGTTCAAGCTTTTGTTGGTAGGCTGCCAGCAAGAAACTGAACCCTTTCCCCTTCAGATGCCCTGGACAGCCCAGGAGAAGGCCGCACCAAAAACTGGCTCCACTGGCGCCTTGGATGCACGAGAAGCGGGCAGGCGTTGAGCCTCGCGAGAAGCTTTTGAGCCTTCTGGGATGAGGAAAGGATGACGAGAAGTGTGGGGATCCCCGTGCCCAAGATCCGAAGTAGCTGTGGCCACAAACAGGCCAATGCGCATGCCATGGTCGTGCATGCAGGTGGCTAAGATTCGTCTCATAAATCAAATTGGGCCCTAACAACTGCTTACCAAAAGTTGCTGCCTGGACATGGCTTTTTGCGCGCCTCACTGACGGAATGGCATGACACACGCAAGTTTTGTCCTGCCATGATGGTCGGTCGAGCCGCTATCCAGCAAGACTCGTCCACCATTTTCCCGGTGACACTGGCCTTTGGTTGAGTGGTGGATGTATCTATGTCACCATGCTGGATTGAACAAGTCGTTTTCAGGATGTCATTGTGAAGCTTTGACTTTGACAGCTTCCCAAACCGTGTTCAAGGCGGTTAGGCTTCCTTTGAATGGGACGTACCGCTCAAACATAGGGAAAAGCAAGCTTCGGATCCATCTATTGCATGAAGCGCGAAAGCGCAAACGAAGCAACATTCAGCTCAACATGCGTCATGATCAGGAAAACAGAACGTCAAAGATCTGTACATATCATGTTACAATTGGATACCTGGCACCAATTGTTTGCGCATGTTCCAGCCCGGCCGGAGAAATGTTTGTCCTTCTTGTGCCCCCCAAAAATCGGCACGCAGCTTGGGTCGAGTGCGGGATTTGACCAAGGCAGCCGCTTTGGCCAATGGTCCTTCACGGATCTCGCGCTGCCACAGCCGCGGCTCCTGAAGCTTCTGTTGCTCGGGTTGGAAGTTGGCATCCCTTGAGCGCCCCTCAAGGCTTAAGGTCCCGTGACGGTGCGCATGTGTCGCATGGTGCAGGGGCTATGCGTCCTGACTTCCATGTAAGTTGAGCTAAAGCCGGTTTGACTGGCGAAAGAGACCGGTGTTCCAAGACTTCTGCTTTCTAGGGAGCGGCGTAGATGGACTTACCATCCCCACCGAATCAAGGAATCCCCACCAAATCAGTCAAATCAAGCATTGGGTTCAAGCTTAAAGCAAACCACTGCAGGCGAGCTTGGATTCTAAGCTTCGCGGCTCAGGCTGCCTTTGCTTCGTTTTAGGCCTTTGCTCGCCACAAGCTTGGCATGAGTTTGAGCCTTTTTTTAATGACGAGCGAGCTGTTTTGGTCCAGGACCCTTTAGGCTTCCAAAAGTTTCTCGACGCATCTGGGGCTCTTCCCGAGGTTGTTCGGCGAAGCATTTGAGGCCTGGGATGCGGACAAGGAGAAGACGGCGCCTCGACATTGGAACCCCTCACGAGACGTGGTTTTCTGGGATGCCTTAAAAGGTATTCTACATGTTTTAGGCTCTCTGAGTATGAGTTAAGTTCTGGTTGGTAGTTTGTATTGTTGGGGATTTCTTCCTCAAAATTGTGTAGTTTTAAATGGCAAGCCAACACTGACCTTTAAGTACCCAATCCAAACCACCAATTATAAGGGAAGCTGAGAATACAAACCATAATCAAATGCTATGAGTTTTGGTTGGGGGGCAAAAGCTTAGGTAGTTGTAGAAAGTGTCGTGGCAGCTCTTGGTCTGCTCACGGAGCCTCAAACTAGGCTGTGGCGTGTTTTGCTTTTCCTCTCGTTAGTTTTCCCGGGAAGCGCTGTGCGAACTGTGCGCGCCGTGGGCCATGGGTGTTGGTGCGGAGATCCTACTTGCAATTGCCTGCGGAGAGAGACATTTTTCCCCTACGGCGCTACATTTTGGGAGACTTTGAATCCCACATGCACAATCAATGAGCACTTCAGAAAAGGCACTTTTTCCCTTGCCCCCTTTTCTGGGCTACTAAAGCCCAAGTGCTAGCAGATTGCCATCCTGATGGCTGTTTGAGGTGCACTACGGAGCGGTCTTCGGGATCCTCAACCCGGTCGCCATGACCGGCTCACAAAGCGACGCTTGGAACGGAGTCGGCGGGCTCTAAATCGCCTTGTGGAATTCACCTCGAAGAAGGGAGGGCTTGGGGCTTCGTGTGGGTGGTGGAAGGTGTCATGTGCTCCTGGTTTTGTAAGGGACTTGCTTGCTCTACACAAAGCTGGTAGCGTCCTGGTTCCCATGGCCACTGGGCTTCTTGGATGCTGCAAAAGAGTGCTCAGCCCTTGGCTTCCGAAGGACACGCTGGTCTCGGCGAAGGTGACTCACTCTACGCAGCTGGTGTTGCTTGGCCCCTCGGTGCGTTTCGTTTGTGGGTTTCAGAAACCTACGATGACTCCCCCCCTGGACAATTTTGGAATGTGGTGAAGGACCCACTTGGGAGATGGGTTTACCATGATTCACCCATCTCAAATTGGTTGTTTGCTGGGATAGGGTCTCCTTTGCTTCTGGGAAGGCGGGGGCAATGCTTGGATGCCCTTTGCCTTGTGTTGCGAAGACTAGCTTAATGGAACAGAGGAGCCACATCATATCCTATCGGAGCCACATCCTATCCACTGCGGTCATGTCCTGTTTTTGTTTGGGGTAAAAGACCAGCGAGCCGTCTCTGAAAAGGCGTTCCATCACGACGAGGGCTACCGGCATGAAATAATGCCAACTCGCGTGCAGCGTGCAAGCGTGCGTAACCAAGGGCTTGTTTAGGCTGGATACAATTTGTGTTCAATTGCAGTTGGGCATTTGCTTTATAATACGGTGTCATGTCACCTCCCTAGCATTCAACCATCATGTCAAGCACATGGCTTCTACGTTCTGCAGGTTGTCCCATGCTGATGGAAAACAGCCACTGCTCACTGCTTCGGGGCACACGACCAGTCCAGGGCATGTGTGCAGCGGTCGGAGGAAAACCAGCCTTGCGCACTGGAGAAACGGATTGTAAGGCTTTGCGCCCAATCAGCATGTACAAGCATCATGCAAAAACAGGCGCCTCCCAATACACATCAACCCACCGCTGGCCAAGTCCGAGTTTCCTGGGGGACCTGCAGGATAGCACTAGAGATAGAGAGAGAATATGCGTCAACCAGTCTCCTCCCCGAGCCAGTTGGCTCGCGCGCCTCTCACGGCCGTGCCTCCGGCCGTGAGGCCAGTGCCCGTCGCTGGGCTTCTGCTCCATGCGGAAGAAGGACGGCCTGCCCTGCACGATGCCCTGCAACAAGGATCAGACGGGCGGCGCGCTGGCACCTCGGAAGCCACGGGGTCAAAAAGCCGAGGCGCAAGGAGGTGCAAAAAGGCACAGGGAGGTCGAGTGTCAACGTGGAAATCTGGATGACTCTGAATCGTGCTTACCTGGCTATTATACAAATATTATAGACAGAAAAACATGTGTGACTCAGCCGTGGAGACATCCATATGGAATTGTTTTGTTTTTTCCCCACCCGGCAGGAAGGGGTTGTTAGATTTTATGTTGGAATCCGCGCTTGCGATGCTTCTACACCACGCCCCCGCCCAGTATCCAGCCAGAGCAGCTCGCCAGTGGCTCCCGCCGAGTATCCCGCCAAGTATCCGCTCGCCAGTGGGTCCCACCGAGTATCCCGCCAGAGCAGCTCGCCAGTGGATCCCACTGAGTATCCCGCCAGAACGGCTCGCCAGTGGATCCCGCCGAGTATCCCGCCAGAGCGGATCGCCAGTGGATCCCGCCGAGCATCCCACCAGAGCAGCCCGCCAGTGGATCCCGCCGAGTATCCCGCTGAGTATCCCTTGCCGGTGGATCCTGCCGAGTATCCGGCCAGTATCGAGCCGCAGCGGCTCGCCAGTATTCGCCAGTGGCTCCCGCCAGTATCCCGCCAGAGCAGCTCGCCAGTCTGGTTTTGCTTAATGTCCAAAAGGGCCGATGGGAATTTGGAGTCGAAGTCTCTAGGATGCGGAGGAATTTGTTGTAACGGTCGTAAGCTCGTGAGTGTGGAGGGTGGGGATTGCTCGAAGCGAAGTAATTGTTTTTTTTTCATTTTGAGGCGCTGCCGAATCTTACCTTGGCAAGATGGTTTGAGTCATCGGCTGGACCTACCCTTCAGGAAGTCAGCGTTTTCCTACATGAAATACTTTTTTGCGCCTCAGAGCTTGCAACATGTTTCTCGAAACCATGGGAGGTTGCAGGCTCAAATCCTGCTGGTCTTATTTTTCCCAATGTCGTTTCTGGAACAAGGGTTCTTCGTGAAAGCCAAAGTCAAGGTTGATCAACCTCGACTCCGAAGTGATCTTCACCTGATCTGATTTACAGCCCCGTCCCCTCGGAATCTAGCAACCCTGCAGATGCCATGACAATGGCTCCGAAGGGTTAATGTGTTTGTGTCCACACTGCAGGCTCCGGCCATCACCCAGCGTGGGCCCCCCGATTGTTGTCCGCACATTTCAGGATACCCACCCCCAATTGCAGTTGCGTTCTAAAGAGTGTGTGCATTCTCCCTTCACTAATCAGCAAAGGGACATGTGTCAGTGTCAACTGTGCCAATTTAATCCCAGATGGTGTCTTCGCTGTAGGCATTTGGGCTGTTTTTTGTTTTGCTCAGAGGACGGCTCCCTGCACCGGGGTCATTGTTTCAGTTGCCAAAAACTGTTGTCGGACTTGGTCAAGCCGGGGAAACTGAAATCCGGCCATAACTCCACTGTCATGAGGTCTGAGGAGTCATAGTATCCTCAGGGTGAAGCTAGCATGATGCCCATTCATTCCAGCCCTTCCAAAATGGCTGGGAGTGTTTCGAAAGGGAGTGCATGTTCACTGTTCGACCGAACACCTTTCCATTCACTTCCAACATGTGTCTAGCTGCCTGGAAGCCAGCCAAAACGGATGGCTGATGAGCCAACAGATGTTTCTCAGCAGATTTTGATTACAGGCAGCAAGGTTGTAGAGACAAATTTGTCCCCTCGTCATCCGAGGTGTGCTTCTACCACACCATGCACCAGGAAGCGCAGAAGGCAGGCTTGCAGCAATTCGTTAAGTTTCAGCGCAAAAGGGACCTAGGAAATGCAAAAGGAGGTTGTAAACGATAAGTCATGGGGGCAATACGGTTCAAGCGAGGGCTTTGCCCAACCCTGCCAGGTCAAGAAGTGGGCAAGCCTAAAGGCAGGCGCAGGCACGCGGCGGGGGGGGGGGAAGGTTTGAAGCAAGGGCGAGGAGTTTGCAAACCGGGCTTTTATTTCAGGGCATCTAAGATGGACGTATGGGAGCGTCTTTTTTGGAGGTATAACTATGTTGGTCATTGAGAAAAGCACACATGCAAGTGTATCCCTGGATTAAAGCCAACGGATGCCCCCTGCTCGAAGGCGGCCATGCGTGTTTCCGCCAAAGCGAAGTGACTCCGATCAATGTTTTGCCGACCACCTAGGGTGCATGTGTGTTTGTATTGAATTAAGTCAAGATTGTGGCCTTTGTTTTGCTTCTTGTGTCCCCTGGCTGAAGGTTGAACCCTGGCATTTACTCAAAAGTGGACCTGATATGAGCGGCGTCCATAGCGTCCATGCATGTTCTTTGCCCGCATGCTTTGCATCCATATGTGCCATGCTCAAATCTCCCTCGTCATGATAGGGTGGTCATCAATTCCTGAATCAAGCTTTGGGTTTAAACCATTGAAAGGGCTCCTACCAAGGGAACCGTGACCCAGATACTCAAGCGATCCAGGAAAGGCTGAGACACCCGGCCTGGCAGCTCGGCTGCACTTAACTCACTCGCGTGAGTTACCGACCCCACAGGTGCTTTCCTTTGTCAACCCACTGAGTGAGCAGCTGAGACACGAGGACCCTCAGTGGTCCCATTGCGGGTGAACATCCAAGTTTAAACCAGTGGCGACTCGCCGAAACGTTTGCTGCAAGGAGTTGTTGAGCCCTCCTTTGCGCTCAGGACCTTGTTGGATTAGATGAGTGTTAAAACCTCCATATGCGGAAGGGAGGTGATTCGGATTTGACCGCTCAGGCATGACTTCTCAACATGCATAGCGTGGATTCAGCTACAGCGGCTCAGGGCTTCGTCAACTTGCTGTGACAATTGTTTGCAAACCGCGGATTCGGAAACAAATGGAGCAACATGTTTCAAGCCTTTCATTGTCTCAAGCAATGGTCCAAACAATTCCTAAAGCTGGTGCAGATTTGGTTGGGTTCTAAGATCGCGTTGAAAGCCCAGGCAGAAGCTTCTCTCCTCACAATCGACTATTTACCTGAACCCATCCCTGGTACATCCTTACCGAGCCCCACCTGCAAACAAACTTTACGCTTCAGAAAGTCTAAACACACCCAAAATCCAGGGTACCTCAACGCGGTCGGAGCTCCAGGCCCAAAACCACCTTCCCTCATTCACAGCCACCCGCTTTCCAACTACTAGCTAGTTCCAAATTCAGATTGACCACAGACTTGCAGGCCGCGCATTCTGGTGGGGCACTCGATTCTTTGGCGTGACTTCTCTCAGGTGGTGCGCCAGCCGAGCCAAGTTCCAGTCCGCGCGCCGGTGGTTAACACAGGCGAGGCAAGGGCTCCTCTCACCCGACGAGCGCAAAGTTGCTTGGGGCCAAGACGAAGGCGAAGGTATCACCAACACACACGTGCTTGAATCCCATGCGTGCGCTCTTTCCAAGGGCTAAAAAGTATCTCCCGCTTCAGACGTGTTTCTTCAGTGCGGATTTGAATGCTCGGCGCTAGCTTCAGGGCTTCCTCAAGAACATCTCAGGGTTTTGACAGCTGCCGTTGGTTCAGGACAGAGATCCCCACTAGCTCAAGGTTGACCATCCCTTGCAGAGTTTCTGTCATGTATCTTCTTTGGCATGGAAATAAGGGCAGCTAGGCTCCGGTTGGACACCCTTAGGTCTTGAACGGTGGCAACGTTGACTGTTGAATTCGTGTTTTGGTTTGGTTGCCTTTCCTGTGGTTTGATTCCGCATCGTATCGTAGCCCATGATTTGTTTGTCTTCTTTGTCCCAACCAACGAGCATGGAAGTGCACAGGAACCCTCCCTTTCCAAGAAGATGGTCTTCCAAAATCCGTGGCTTGTGCAGTGAGCCACCCTTGGAGGGGGCTCGGAAGAGATCGATGGCCGTCCAACAGACGATCGGCAGGCAGCCCCAAAGTTGACCCAGCACTGCAGCGGCTGTTGAAAGGCCCCTCACCAAGGCGCCAAATCTGCGGTCGTGGGCCAACCCCGGTTCCGTTTTCCCTGGGAGGATGGCCCGCGGTCTCGAATTGCCCCTAATGTTTGCCATATTAGTCACACATAGTCACTTGGCTGCATGTTTTTTCTTTTTCTATAACTCTGATGTTTTCTGGGGTTTTCCTGTTTCGGATATATATTTTTGGGGTGGTCAGCCGGGGTGCTTCCATATTCCCTGAGAACAAGCACGTTTTGCTTGATTTAGATGGCTTCCTTGGTGGATGCCTCAGGAACTACGCTTGCTGTCTCAGATGCCCAGGTTTGGTTTATGGCTACCCAAAGGGTTGTCGTGACTCGAGCTTTGCCAGGACTTGGACAAGGGAACTATTCATGTTGACAGAACTGTTTGTTTTGCCTATAATGACGTGGTCTATGCGTTGATGTAGTTGACGTCAATTTCAGCACTACGCCAGGAGCCACAAAGCATGGACGCAGAATGTTTGCGACAGTGGTGTGAGCTTTGGATCGGCGTACCCGGATATTCGCGCAATTGGGTCTTTGCATCGGAGCCAGAGCGCCAGGTGAAGCGCGCGAGCTGTTTGTTGGAACCCCACTGCCACTATCGACGGCTTTGTTGATGGAGGGCTAGCTCGATTGGTCCATTGGCTGAGTTGTTGTATGTCAGTGCGCATGCTTTGGTTTTTGCATGGCGTGCCAGGAAGCAGCCGCAGAGGTCGCAGGAAAAGATGAGGCGTCAGCCTGGGGCTGGGGCTGGGAGCATTCCAAGGACGCGCATTGACACATAGCGGGGTGGCCACATCCCATTTGGACAGCGGCGTCTAAACTGCGTTTGTGATTGTTGGTTGCACCGTCCTCATCAACCTGTCCCAACCACAGCTGAGAAATCTAGGCAACCATGCACCCATATCCTATGTTTGTTTCCCTTATACAGCCAAGGGAGGGGAGGCTCCGGCCTTTCAGCCTCGGGTATCACCAAAGGATGGCTTTCCGACGCGATCGAACTGCCTCTCTCCCCGAGTTCCTGCTGCCCACCGGCTGTGCCAGATCTGCTGGCAAGTCCAACTTGTTGGTCCAATCCACGGAAGCGAGTTGAAACAAGTGGCCATGGGTCAAAACCCCGTACCCCCGATGAACATCCCAATCCCCACTAAAATAGACTAAAATGGGTGGTGCACCTATCCCAAAATGGTACCATTGGTTTTCTCCCACAGCCACATAGCTAAGAATGAACACAACACAAACTGACCTTAGAAAAGGCGATCGCCAATACTTTCCACCAATACAAATTCCCTTCCGTAGTCTTGAGGCTTGCCTTATTCCGAAACCGAAAAGAACATGTAGCCAGAAACGGCAACTTTTGTTGGGGGGTGTTCTTTGGAGAATCGATGGTTGACAAGCTCACAAAGGGCACTCCCCCCCCCCCCACGCAACCTGGCACCTTCCAGCCCTGGGATTAAGAATTGCTCTAGAGAAGATCGGGCCCTCCAAGAACTGGGTTTTCTGCACCTTGTCGACCTTGAGCGGGTTTGGGAAAAATCAAGGGTGAACAGGAGGCCACGAGTCTTGGAGTTCAGAAAGCCCTTCCTCAATCGTCAGGTTCCAGGAAGTATTTGCAGCCCAAAGACGGAAAAGCCGTTGGGGTCGCAGATCCACGGCAGCTTTGGCCAGGCCCAAAACCGCGCCGCCAGCTGCGCCTCCAGCGGCCCAGGCCATGGGAAGCGATGCCCCATGAAAATCGCATCCCTGGAGCTTCCTTCTTCATAGGCACCCAAACTCTTCCAGTTTTGTTTGGATGATTTTGGTGGCTTACTGGAAGGTTTTCTACCAAGGGCACTGTACAATTGGCTTAAGTCGAGTTGTGGATTTGGACTGGTGCAGCAGCCGCAGTCACTGAACTTTGCTACTATACAATCTATGCACCTTATACAGACGGGTCTTGGTTGTGACTTGTTTGGGAGCCCACGAGTAAGTTTGCCTGGCTTTTGGCGCTTGAGTTCAGCAGTCTTGGCTCATTGTATGGCGCCAAGAGGCTAAACTGTTGCCAGGTCAGTGTTCAGGTCGCTGAGGGCTCCTGGCAGAATTGAGGGGTGTACCAATGAAAATCACGCGCACGAGTGCATAAGCATCTCAATGGGTCCGCAGAGAAGACTGCATGCCAGAACAAAGAAAGCCACTGAACTGTACTTGCTTTTTTGTTTTCTGAGCAGTTGTCTGCGAGTTTGCGCAGGTCAAAAACTGCCTTGAACAGTGACGTCACGCAAGAATGGAGCTTAGATCATGCTGCAAACCATCGTCGTAGGTCACCTCCCTCCAAGCCAGATAGCGGCCGAGCCCGTTGTAAATCATCATCCTTATTAAGCCCCTGTAACTCCAAGACCCGCAAAGCGCACTGGACAGATTTGCACAGCTCTATTGCCATATGCGCGGCATGCCAGTTTGCTCGCGAGGCCGAACTCATGGTTTCCCGAGGGCCTATGCGTTTAGATGCGTGCAAAACGGAGCTCCCAAAAAATGACACACCCGAGGTTGAGTCCATTCTGAGCCCAACAGTGATGTGTTGCTTGAGGGTAGTTTTCTCAGGCCTATCGGGACACCTTCGGAAGGCTAATGACCCACGCCCAATAGCGCATGACTCGGTTTCTTGCCTAGGCTCGTGAGCTCATGCTGCTTTGAGTCAGCTCAGCCCCTGGTTTCTTTGTTTTTTTCTCGGGCTAGGGAGAACCTCATTTCCCCCTTCAAGCAAGCAAGCAAAACAGCACAAAGAATTTCGAAATGTGGAGCCCGCTCGTGCAGGCCCCGCAGACATCCCAGGGATCCTGGAGACCCCAGGGATCCCAGCAAACCCAGGGATCCCAGGGATCCCAGGGACTGCGCACAGTGCCGGCCGGTTGGCTGCAAAAGGGCTGGGCACGCGTCAAACTTGCAGACCTTCAGCCGGACTTGTAATTGGCCGCGCTAGGAGTAGTTCGAGGCCTCGTGTTTGTGGAGCATAGGCCGTGTTTTCTTGTAGAATGTGTGCATTGGCAACAGCCTTGGATTTTCATATATCATGTCCCACTTTCCTCTTGAGGTTCCTCCTCTATGCTGCATTTGAGGCACCCCAGGGCGAAGTGTCTGCAGCGGAGCGGAAGATTCTAGTGCCTCGGTAGCCAAAAGCTGAAGCCTATGGTTCATTTGGGAGGGACACGGGGGATTAAGAAACGGGAGACTCACAAGTTGTCCCTTCCTCTATTGGGGGAAACACGCAATTTGGCTCGGAAGGGGGTGGTCATTTTAAGCAACCGTTGCACGTATCAAGCAGATCATTGCCATGACCCACGACCCACTTTTGACCATGGATCGTATGTTTCGATCCTGGTATGAAGCCCTGATCATGGATGTTCAAGAACAAGAATAGCTGATGTGTGCGGACCTCACCACTAAAGACACAACACTTGAGAGAGATTCATGCATCCATGCTACCAGCCTTTCATCCAACGCTCGAGTGATTTCCAGCGGTTTGTTTCACAGTTTCCATGGAGTCTCGAGGCGGCTACAGGGGTCAAGCGATGTCAAGTGAGTTTTTGCTTGGTGATGCTGTCTGGTTGGAGACATAAGCGAAGTTCCTGATTGGGTGTTAAAAAAGCCAAGCGCAGGAAACAACAAAAATCTGGCGAATGCCGAAGAAACTGGAGGAAACCAAAGGGAACCCCGCGGAGTCGATTTGAGGCCATGTTCCCAGATGGTCTGCCGGCGCCGGATCCCAACCAACCCATGGAGTCGCGCCTGCGCTTGGCGGGCCTGGCAAGCAAGGCGAAAGGCGCGGGGTGTGGGGATGCGGGTGAGGGGGTGCATGTATTTGTGTTCTACGTCAGGCTGGGTAGGCACACGCCCGCAATGAGATTTGATGAGAACAATGATGAGAGTCCTTCTGTTCGAAATGAATACAGGCAATGGTCGGGGCCAGGGGCCCTCCTTGCTGTTTGATGGCACTCTTCAGGAGATGATGACCTAGCAGCTATGCCCACGCCCCAGCAAGTGCCGCGCTTCCGCACTGCGAGCGCCTGGGCAGACGTTCAGTCAACGGACACGCGGAACAAGTGGCATTCCTTAAAACGTTTATGTAGGGGTTTATAATATAGGTAAGGTTAAGTTTGCAGTAGAATTTGTCGTGGATGGGTTCAATCCTGCACTGTTCAAAGTGGATCAAACCCTAGGATTTCTTGAATGGGCTCAACCACCTACCAGCTGCTGCGATGTGGATGTTCTCGGTGACTTGTTGTTCCAGCATCAAACCATGATGGAAGAAGGTACTAGCAGCTCTCACAGCACTTGAGGGAAGACCCTGGACGGCCCAGAGTTGACGGGGTTTTGTTGTAGTTCCCTTTGTGAGAGATTTCAACTTCACCAGTTGGGCCCCTTTAAAGTGAGCTTTCTTCCAGTGAGGTGATTTTTAAGGGTGGGGGAAATAAGGCGAGCCCCGGGACCCTCAGCTGGTCTAAGGCAAGCGTGTGGCGAGCCCGAATCGGGGCCTGGCAAAGGAAGTAAGGAGGGGAGATGACACCGGGGAAAGCAAGAAGGAGGGTTTACACCTTTTTGGGATTGGAGGATGTTGGAGGGAAGTGTCAAGGGAAACCACCTTTGGAGGGTTGCTCGATTTGTAGAGGGGCGTTTTGTCAAAGAACATTGAGCAGCATTGTGGCATTTGGCTTGTGTCGAAAACTTGGGCTCCTGAAGTTGGTGATCCTGACCGACAGCTTGCTTTTGCATGCCCGCCCGTCTCCTCAATCAAGTAGGCTTTGCTTGCGGGATGCCCGGTCGTCCATATGTTAGATAAGCAGGCATCCAAACGTAGAGGCTCACCAACGGACCCTCCCACAGAGCAGCATCCACAGCTTGAAGCTTTGCCACATGTTTAATTTGTTTTTCCGGGGGAGGGAGGGGGGTAGATTAAGAAGGGTAGGTCCGAAGGCATCAGGTGGTCATTTGTGATGTCAGATGCTGAAGCAATCAGATTCCTGTGCACCTTGGCCCTCCACGGCCCGAGAAAGAACACGTTCAAAGAAGCCATTTGGCTCATTGAGCCAGTGGCAACTGTTTACCTTTGCTTTTCAGTTCGTTCCAAGCTAGCTACAGAGGAGCAACCAACAAAAAGGTGTACGCTTTAACATGCTTTCCACTATATATACAAATATATATATATATACATACTTATATACCCGCAAACAACTACAACCAGGGGATTCATAGATAAAGGGTATGTACGTTGTTTTCTCCTGAGAGTAGTGGTTTGGGGGTGGAAGCCAGCTTAGATATGCCCTGCCTTTCACTGGAGCAGCTTCCAATATGGCTGTGTGTAGGATGTACAGTATCGCACAAATTGTGGATGTTCACCTACATGTGCGCCAGCCTTTTCAACACATAGCATTCAAATCTTTGAGTCTGCTAGCGGTGCTAGTCAGGTCATGTCAGGTCATCACATGGGAAGAAAGGGGCTATAGGGCTAGAACGACTACAAGCCCATGAAGTGTTCCATTTGTCTTTGGGATCACTGCTCCTGTGGGGTCAGTTGCAGCAAGGAAATTCCAGCAAAGACGAGCTGATTCGCATCAGTGAGGCTGGCAAAAGCGCATCCAACCCTTCTTCTAGAGCAAGTGGTGAGACATTGGTGTAGGAGGCCTCTCTCGCGCGCGAGGACTGAAGCCCCCAAGCAGAAGGGCAGCAAAGCGAACTTCCACAAGCTCGAGAGCCGCTTTGCACAAGGGCACTTGTTACTCCTGGTGTGTGTGGGTGTGGCAAGCAGTACATGCTCCTGGTTGATGCGTGTCAGATGCCGTTTGTCGTATGCGCCACGTGTGCAAAGTACCAAGCTCACTCGGTCCGTATCACTTGAAAGCTTATGTTTCTTTTGTTGCCTCATGTTCGCCTGGAACCCCTTGGAGGACTCGATTTCAAGACGGAAAGCCCTGCCCAAAGCGCTTGCTCGTGCCAGACTGCGCGCTGACTCTATGCTTCTGAATTGATTGTGGAAATGATGCCTGGTAGGTGCAAACAGGGCATCCAACAGTCCAACCCGCCCAAACCCGCCCACCAACACAACCCAACACACAGCTATCACCCAGCTCAACTACCCAACCCCAGCCCAAATCTCAAACTCGACCCCAGCCCCACCCACCCAATCCACCCCTCAACCCACTCTTGCCTGCGAGCCTTTCACGTGAGGCGAGTTCGGTCGCAAGTGCGCCACCCTCCTGGCGCAGAGCACTGACCCCCGGAAGGACCTCGTTCGGCAGCAGTCCTCGCGGTTTCAGAGCGCCGCCCGGCGCAGTGGCACAGCAGAAAGGGCAGAGGTCAAGTGGACACCAGCGAACACCGACGAGTGTGGTGGTGCAACCAGAAGACAAAAGAAAACATGCTTTTTTGGCGGTGGTTCAGTGGGGATAAGAACATCATATTATAGATTGAGTGGGGATAAACAAGAACCACAATTGGCGTGGCCCAGAGGCCCACAGTTGTCGAGTTGTTGCATGTTTCGCTTGCCGACTGACGGAGTTGAGACGGCACTGGGTGCGTTCGCAGGGCCGAGTGTGACAGAGCATGTTTGTTCCATGGGCCAAGCTCCGTGAAGGAGTTCAAGACAATGCCCCCACCGTTTTTTGCCCCCACTTCCAGACCCTGACGGTGTGGATGGGGTCGATTGTCAACCATCCAGAAGCTTGGACACCAAGTAAGGACCGCACATTTGTGCACCTTGTTTTGCTGTGCAGAGTGAAAGCGACGCTGGGAAGAGTACCATGCAGGTGTCTTCATCGCACTCAGCAAGAAGAAAGCGTTGCGTTTGCCTGTTGGTTTGTGCGGCCTCCTGAGATCCAGCAGTGGGGGAAGCAAATCGGGGTCGCCACTCCCAATAGACGCGTGAGACCAGCACCTGATTGACGCAAATTGGGTCGCGACGTTTCCACGCCTCAGAAATTGTTGTCACTGACATGATCCGTTCAAAAGTCCTTGCACCAAACAAACGGCCCCTGCAAAATGGCTTGCATGTTTCTCCCTGGTTTTGTTGGGGGGCAGGGCCAAAATAGAAAAAACACATTTTCTTAGGTCCACGGCTTTTCCGATTTTGTCTTTCCTCGTTCGGCTGAGCCGCCGGACGCCTCGGACGCACACATCGGGCGGTTGAGGTGGTGGAGGAGCAGCGGGCGGCCAAGCGCATGCGGCGGCTCACGGAGCTGGAGGCGCTGGACGCGGCGCAGGAGCAGATGGAGGAGCTGAAGGTGATCCAGGCGAACGATACGAGCCGTGGAGTCGAGTTCCGGGGGTATGTGGGAGTTCCTTAGGTGATTTTTTGTTTTGGATTTTTAGGTTGGCGTTTTTTGTTCAGTTGTTTGGTGGATTTAGCGGGAATTGCCGAAGTTACTCTATGAATCAAGTGAAAGGCAAGTTTTGCAGGATTTTGCGGTAGTTGTGACATCCTTACTCGGTTTGGAAAGGTTGGACAAACACCTCCGGAGTGATGCATTCCCACGAGAGCAGCTACGCATTTTGGGGGTTGTGTAGGAAATCTGCCCCTAGGCAGCCCAACACCAGGCACCCCTCCAGTGCCAGGTCCGCGCGTTTCGCTGCCGGCTCCACGGCTGATGGTAAGGGTCGGGGAAAATGCGCCCATCACTCACTCCCTGAGTTTCCGGGCTGTAGTCACTTTTTGAGCATGGATCATGTTTGTGGTCAACAAGCTTGGGAAGTCATCCATAAAGTGAGATCGTGATCGTTGTTCAGTGGATGTCTCTTTTTGTTTGGTGGGTTCCCAACTGGGCCAACCCAAAAAGAGTTGGTCCGCATTGCCAGGGAGACCTAGGTGAAGGCTCCTAAGCTTCCCTCCCCTTGAACAGAAGACACCCAAACTGTATTGCGTGGTGAAATTCGTGATGCTTGTCAGCCAGAGATGAAGCAACCAGTGTGCAAGTTCTGGAGAAGCACAAAGTCAGAGGGCAAAGAAGGAGGAGTTGAATTTGGGGGAAGGAATTCGGAAGGTTGATTGTTTTCTTCAGCTTGGATTGCTGCCCTGAAAGCGGCTCTGTTCAGCCTGAGCCGCCCAGACTGTTGAATGGAGGGCTTTGCATTCTTCACCAACCGATATCTTGATATCGTATTGGCCTGTCCCGTAGGCACGTCCCTCGAGTCTCAGAGGAGAGCAGCGGGTTCTGGGGATATACCTTAGCTAGGCTGTAAGTCCAATCAAACTACGCTATCCAGGCTATGTTTGACACTACGTCGGCCAATTTGTTGGGGGTGTACTTGACTTGGAGCATTAGGGAATACACTCCACAGATGACATTTGTCCTTCCAGGTCTTGCTTCAAAACCTATGACTCCGAGCGGCAGCGCATTTCCTGCCAGGAGTGGCCGAGATACGGATTGCGTGAGGTGGAATAGGTAGGACTTCCACTTTGCGCTGTCCCAGTGCCGTTTTCCATCATGCTTCCCTGGGCACAGACCCTTTGCAAAGTGCGGCACTGGAGACGGTTGTCCATTGCGTTCTCTTCAAGTGATTAAGACAGGCGCTGGTGAGCGGGTTGTTTTTCTTCTTTGGTAGGGAGGGAGGCCTGTTTGGTTGGGTAGGGACACGTAATATCTCTGTTTGTGTGCGTGTGTGTTTGTTTCTGAGGATACGTTTCAGGTTAGAGCAGGAACCCATGGGAAAACCTCGCATGTTGGGCTGTTGGGGTGTCTATTTTGAGTACATGCCCATTTGCTGCTCGGCTTCTGGGCCAGGAGCAGGGCCACGAGGTGGCTACGGTCGAGGCGAAGAAGAGCCGTTGGGAGTGCAAAGCCTGCCACTTCAGCGAGGCGGGGGGATCGGGGGCATGAATCCATAGATTCCAAATGTCTAAACCGAAGGAACCGGGCCTTTGATTTGGAGAGACCTAAATCCAGCCGAGGGCATTCTTTTGGTCGCCGCGTTTTGGCGCAGGAAGTCCTGGATCGCCAGCTGCCGCCCTTCTGCCAGCGATGCCGCGGTGACACTTGGAAGCAGGCGCCGGGGGGGGGGATTAGGGCAGGAGCACCAGAGAACCCCACGAGCAAAATAGACTGCAACACGTCAAGTCAGTCCGGAGTGCAAATTGAAGCCTGAGATAATAGAACAAAAGACAGGCTGAAAATGAAGGCGAAGATCTTGGACTTCATTTGAAGGTTGAGGAGCGCCCACGTTGGGTGGTTGTACCCCATTGAGTTTCATGTTGGTGGAACATCCATCCCAAGTTGCAATGGCGCAGGCACCTTGACAACAGCCAGCAGGCAGCCAAAGACTTATGCCCGCAGGTGTCCTCAAGTGCCGTCTATTTGTTCACATTCGCAAGGATAGTGCCAAGCATGAGATGCGCTCGGATCGCGGAAGCAGCGACTTTTGCCCAGTTGCAACCAGTGACCATAGTAGCACACATATTGACAACTCTCTTGGGGTTCCACAAGTTCAAGACCCCACCAAACACAAAGGAAAAAACGAGTGTCGCTGACAGTGACTGAACAAACGTGTTTGCCAGGGCTCCACATCTCAAGGGATCTCTCATTGATGAAAAGTAAAGTGGTTGCATTTTGAGAGGTGGATTTTCTTTACAACATGTGGCAGGAATTGTTGAGGATGTCACTTGAATAGTCCCAACCTTCGGGGGTGTAGTCCAACGCGCCTCAGTCACTGCAAGCCGGTGCTTTTCGCAGGTCTCTTTGCGCAAGACCCGGCGCATGGCGCCTATGGAGCGTGACATGTTCCTGGCGCGCGGGGAGGAGCCACTGGGAATTGAAACCAGCCGTGACAAAATCCGCGGACTTGTTCAGCAGGATCCTTCAAGGGTTCCTGAAAGGAGGCCAGCTGGACAGTCTGGTTTGGAGGATCCCAATCCCTAAACCCAAACGCGGAACCCAACCATGGGGTCCCATCGCTTGCACAAATGGAAGATCATGCTCGTGGCGTCCGAAAGGAACCATAGATCCAAATAGTTGGTCCTCTGGCTTCTGATTGTGGTAAGTGGGCCAACCAGGTATAACCACGTTGTTGTTGCTCACCATTTGAGAAGCAAAATGCGAAAGTCGCCCCCCCTCCCCCCATCATTTAGGGCTCTTGCACAGAGGACTGTTCGCTATTCTCAAAGAGCTTGCACGGTGCAGCTGCAATGTCCCCTTCAATGAAGCCACCAGATGTACAGCCTAAGGTCTGAGTTGCCGACACCATAGTGTCACCATCCATGACTCAGCACTTGTCACGTGACCTCAGCATAACCTCCATGAGGGCTTCAACATGGTTTTGGCAGTGTTGGCTGGTGCAATGCAGACATGCTTTGGGCCTGGCTTATGACTCCTGAATCCCTTCGTTGTCACAATCTCGGGGAGGGCCGCAAGTTATGTCAAGAGCTCTGTCCGATTCCCGAGGTTGCCATTTATCAACTCGGTGCACATTCCAGCAGCTTGGCGGGAAACGCTCACCGGCGTTTAAATGCCTGATTTGGGGTTCGAAAAGGGGAATCCGCATGTCAGTGTGGGTGCGTTCCCTTTGGTTTTCCTCTTGGTTTTGCCAGGTAGCACTCCCGCGGGTCGCGCAGTTTACCGAGCTCACCAATCGCGCCCAAAGATAGTTTGTTGACTGCTATGTGCAAGATGTCGTGAGAGGGCAGCTTTGCCTTTGGCAAGGAATCACCAAAGTTGCCAGGATCATGTAAGCAATATGTGCTTGTATGCTGCGCTCAACAGAAGGGTTCCGGGATGGTTGACCACCGTCAGTTGTCCGCATTCTATCAGAACCCTACGAGTCGCGGCTAACTTCTCTTCAGGGATCCTTCTTTCCAGAAGGCCGCCAAAAATCCGAGGGAAACGCCTGGTTTCTGACAAACAAGGATGGTATGGGGAACTCTTTGCCAATTCGATCACTTTCAACATTGGCCACCACAACCAGAATGTGGCCACATATGGCCAAAAAAAAAGAAATCACCCAATGGCAATGAAACGCCCTGTTCAGGAGAGACATGAGGGACCCGCCTGCCCACGGTGCAGGAAGTTGTGAGAACTCTTCCAGAGACTGTCCTAAGACAACTATTCTGAATCTCTGAACCTTTTCTGGCGGGCGGGAAGGCGCCTTTGTTTTTCCCTTGCTTTTAGGGCCACAAACAAAACTCAGAATCTGAGCATGACTTAAGGTGGTGTTTGACAGAATCTCATTCCAAGTAGCCTCAGAGAGAGGCCCTCGGATGGTCGGAATCAAAGTACGCCAGAAACACGAATCCCAAGTAGCCTTTGTCGTCCAAGCCAGTCGAGGAGCTGCAGGGGACACGCTATCAAGCGCCCAGGGAGGCCCAGGATGACTATGCGGGCCTCTGAGGCGCCTCGAGGCGTCCCCAAACTCGTGTGGACCGAGCAAAATACACCGGGTAATACTGGGTGATGGAAGAAAGTCATAGGAGGTGCTCAGTTTTAGGAGCATCACTCTAATAGGACGGGTTTATTGACTAGGCTGGAACTAGGACCCAGCAAAAAAAAAATGTTTTGCCTGGTGAGTGGAAAACAAAGGGACCCCAAAAAAGGGGGAAAAAAGGAGCTAACTCTGGGGAAGTTGAATTGTGAATTTGGGGTCGTCATTACAGGGTGTTTTTCGGTTTCTCCCGTGCACTATTAGAGAGAGAGATAGGGGAACCAAAGGCGGCGGGTTTGACAATGCCTTTGAGCCTTTGCCATTGGTCCCTCCTTCAATTTGTGTTTGTCTGCGAGGTTTGCTATAGGTTACCATGAGAATGCAATGATGCTTTTGCACGAAAGTTGCGCCGTTTGAGGCGTGGTTGAGGGAGCCATGCGGTTTTGGGACGGTCCCTTTGAGCAATCCTTTGGTTCGCATGTTGTCGAGTGAGCGGGCATGTCCTGTGGGCGACGGTTGCGGTTGCCAGAGATAGACTGGAGTCACTTTGGGATCCTAGCCGTCCCTAGTTGAAATTTGTGTGTTTTTACTGAACACAGAGGGAAAGCCGCTTGGATTCCCTCATGCAATTTGAGGCATGCGTCGCATTGACGGCGTACGGTGAGTATGCTTTTGCGTTACTGCATCGGTGCAGACAACACCTTTGTTTGCACAGACCATTCCTGCAAGGTTCCGCTGGGCAGGTCCAGTGACTAGAGCAGCGTTGATGCCCAGGTGACTCTGCCAGCTACACATCCAGGGGAATGGATATGCAGAGGTCAAAAAGCGTTGCCCGCGCTGAGCCTGGTGCTGTGCTGCTGCGTTTCCTGCTTTTCCTCCCGGCGGTGTGGTACGGATATGTCACTTTGCGCCCACAGTACTACAATAACCCCTCCATTGCATTGGAACTGCTCATTTGTACGTTGCTTGCAGCGCTAAACCCCTTGTACCTCGTGTACCTCGCGCTCAGGTTGGAAGTGCGCCGCTACCTGGAGGAATGGGAACGAGCGATCCGCAAGAAGTAGTGCGAACGCGGACCAAAAAGTAAACCGCATGTGCGTTGTGGCTTCATATGCCTTTGGGACCCGGGTTTCCCGTTTCGGCTTCATGTATGCCAGAAGCTTGTGGTGAATACGTGTTGATGAATGACCGCCCTTGAACATACAATCTAAACCACATCCATACCTTTTAGGAGTACGGAGTAGCACGAATGGATTTATTTGCACTACAGTTAGTTTCTTGCCAGCATTCGAAATAGTTTGCAGTGCTTTCGAACCTTGTCCTGTTTGTTCAGTGGCACCCTTCCCGTTGTTTGCTTGGTAGGATCTCAATCAAAAATGGTCAAAGCCGCAAAGGTTCTGGTTCTTCCAGGCCAACTGATTTGTTCACCTCAATGCACTTGTCTCCCTTTCCCCACTGACCCTTTGTTGTCAGCACACGATGGGAACTCAATGTGTCTGCCGAATCAGAGTCTGCGGGTGATAGATTTGAGCTTCTGTGCTTGTTACTCGATGGTTGGCAAATAGACATGATCTTCAATTTTGTTAATGTTGAAACGCATGTGGAAACATGAGCTGTGTGTGGAATGCTTGACCATAATGGCATGTGCCATTTTGGCTCAAGCATTGCTCTGGGCTCCTGGAACCCAAGCTGATTGAAAAACTTTGATCTTTTGCATTTTCGAACTTAACCCCGACCAAGCGATGGCTTCCTCGGCAACCTCGGCAACTTCCTTTGAGTTGATTGAGGACCAGACACTCACCGTGGAGGAGGTTGAAATGGCCAGCCAGGAGGCCCAGGACATTCGCACACGGGAGGCGGCAGTGGCGGCCGGCTTGGTTTTGGACGAGCCCGAGGCCCCCCCGTCAGCTTCGGCGACCGATGTGATGAATGACCTCTCCAGTGCACTGGAGCGTCTCCAAGTGGCATTTGCCACACCGACTCCCGGCTTGGGTGCCCCTGGCCCCGCCGAGGAGGGCGACAGGGACATGGGGGATGCGGACGGCACGGAGCGGGCCACACCACCGGAGGAGGCGCAGACGCCACCCACGAAGAGACTGAAGGGCTTTGTGGCGGCTTCTCAGAAGGCTACGTCTCAGGCCAACAAACCTGTCACCTTGGTGCCGGTGGACGGAAAACCTGGGTACTTCAAGCTGGTGGACCTCCCGGACTTGTTTCCAGTCCTTCCAGCGTCGGCGGCCACCTTGCTGAGAGACATCACGGTGGAGGAGGCGGTCTCCCTGTTTTACAAGTTTGTTGGGAAGAACCTCACGGAGGACCTGGTGATCCGCATCTTGGAGGCGTACGTCCCGATGAAGATCCAGCTCCGCCAGGAGGAGGTCTGGGCTTCGCAGTTCCAGAGGAACAAGGCGTGTATCGGCACCCAGCGCATGTACAGGCTCGACGCAGGTCATTCCGACTACAAGTTCATGTGCAAGGCATGCGGAACGGGGTGGCCAGAGGCAGCCAAGCAGTGCTGGGTCTGCCCCGGCAAGGAGTCCGCCCCCTTCCAGGCACCCTCGGCCACCTATGAGGCGGACGGCATCACCTACAACCTGCTCATCTTGGAGGGCAACTCTGGCAGCAGGCCGACCGCACAGGCCGACCGCAACTTGGTGGACGGCACGGTCTTGGGGAGAGCCCCTCCAAAAACGGACTCGGCTGATGAGATCACCATGGCAGATGCGGTCCCGCTTAACATGCGGGTGGACATCCGGCAGGAGATCCTGTCCATGGAGGCGGATGACGAGGCGATGAAGGTCCGGGAAAGCCAGGAGATCCGGGTCAAAGTGCAGCGGTCCCTGAAAGAGGCGGAGGCTCAGAGCTTCGAGCTCTACCATCCCCAGGTGGACCAGGCGATCAGGAAGAAGGAGGAGCTGCATAAGGCCTTGCGGGAGCAGCGGGAGCCGACTCCGGAGGAGGCCTCGGCCAGGCGGCACAAGGAGTTGGTCACTGAGGAGATGCTGGACAACGAGATGGCGATCCTGGCGCCCCTCCAATAGGGCATGCAGGCCCTGCCGTCAGATGAGGTGGCCAACGAGGGAGCCCGTGCTCTCAGGAAGGTCAACCTGGAGCGTTTCAAGGCCAAGCTGAGAGACCAGTACTTGGAGGGGAAGGGCGTTGACGCCAGCCAGGCATTGGCTGAGGCGATGGGCTCCATTCAGGAGGCCCAGGCAGCAAACAAGCGAATCCAGGACACCAACCAGGCATGGATGCTCAACCACACTCTCAAGCTCTTGGAAGTGTTGGCGTGGCCAGATGATCTCAGGAAGGCCCTGGAGAGGGGCCTATTCTGCTGGAGGACCCCGACGACATCCCCCCGGACATCAAGGAGAAGTATGTCCCCTACATCAAGATGCTCAGAGCGTCGCAGAACCCGTGGCACCAGGCACTGCTGAAAAAAATGCCCGAGCTGGAGGCACCGGCCCCTTTCAAGGGTGCCACCGGCCCTGGGGGGGCCAGCCCACAGGACCTGGACTCTGAGGACGGCAAGCTGTCCCTTATCCTCTGGGCAATGAAGCGGCACCAGGGAGAGCTCCGGATGTTTGGGGGGGTTTGGAGGAAGCACGCAAGCGGTGAGATCCCCCGGGCGCTGACCAGCAGTTTAAGCTCGCGCCGGAGGAGCTCCTGGCCCTTGAGCGCAGGACTCACCCATGCACGTGCGAGCAGGACCACATCGACCCAGTCATCTACACGGCCTTGGAGATCCGGGCTCAGGTGAACCGGGGTGAGCGCCCGGCACCTGAGCAGGTGGTTGGTATCTTCTGGGCGAGGGGTGATGGGGTGTTTTGGACCAGACAGACGAGAACGTGGGACCTGCCAAGCCTGACGGGAGTGTACGCCCACAGGTTCACATTTAAGTATATCTACTCGGCCTGGACCACCTTCCCGTTGATTGTGAAGACGCAACGCCGGGGCCGCAATGCTCGGACAAGTGGATGGGCAACATTATCCAGATGAGGAAGGAGGCGGTGCCCTTCCTGGAGAGCCTGGGCATCCCCAAGCCGCACAGCAAGGAGGAGTGGAGTTACATCTTCAAGGAGATGGGGACATTCTTGGCGGCAAAGAATTTCATTGTGAACTGCCCGTTGCCCGTGATGGAGATGCCGGTGGCCCCCATCCATGACAGTAAGGAGGCGCTGCGGTTCAGGGCAATTTGCGACGAACGGATCACCCTCCCGCTGGCCTCGCTGAAGGCCTTCGACTCGGTCTACACCAAGTTGGTGGCGGGCCTGAGCAGTCGTCGATGGTGGAGGTGAAGGTCAATTGGCGCTGCAATGTGGTCCACGACTGGGTCGAGCAGGTCCCGCAGGAGGCGGCGGGCTGGGTTGCTCCCCCCCGCTTGGGTGCCGTTGGCCCCGGGGGGGGCCAAGGAGGCGGACCCAAAGGCCAAGGTCCTGGGGGGGGCAGACACCACGCTCCGCACCCCAGACCAGGGCACCAGGCGGTACCCGCCCATCACCACAGCCACGGTGACGGCGGTCGCGGGCCAAAAGTACGTCAACAAGCACTTCCCCAAGGAGGCGAAGCATGTGTTTTGGGGCTCCGTGGAGTGTGGCTTGGTCTTGCCAAGCATCAGAGCCTGGGAAGTGGTGAGCAAGGAAAAGTTCAAGACCACGGGGGGCTATATGTGCAGATTTTGCAAGGGCTTTTGGAAGGCGAGCTGCGGGGGGACCAGGCTGCTCCAGATCACGGGGCTGCTTGCAGTTGGTGATGACGGCCTGGGGGATGTCTCCACGGCCTTGTGGTCGGTCATCCTGAGCAACCCGGAGAAGTCGGGGCTGTCGGATGTGGGAGTCGTGTGATCTCTTCCTCCCGGGACTTGGGTGCCATTGGCCCCGTCTCCGGGGGGGGGGGGGAAATGTCTTCCTTATTGGGTTCGGTTTTCACCACTGTTTCCTCTCTTATTCCATTTTGGTGGCGCACGTGGGTTTTTCCGGTGGCATGGCAGTGGAGCCACGTCACGGCAGCTTGATCTCCTCGACCATGAGGCCACATGCATTAGCTGCCCCAAGGACGGGCCATCTCAGCCACGGTTCGGAAAAAGTGGCTGCGGCCGGCCGCAGCGCAAGGCGGTGGTCCCCAGCAAAGCATATGGGCTCTGGAGGAAGGGGCTGGCTACGATCACCTGGGTGCCACCGGCCCCGGTACGCAGGCGGCCCCGGGGAGGAGCAGACACGAGGTACTGGACGCATTCATCCTGGGTTTCGACCTGATCCACACCAGTAACACCGTGGAGCTGAAGGCCTGGCAGACCAAGCACGAATCAACCGCAACCCGGTCCCCTTGATTGCTCCGAAGTACAGCTTCACGGGGATCCCCTGGTGGACTACCTGGCGATTGGTATCCGAGAAGGCATTCCAGGACATGGACTACTTGCTCCCGATAGTGAGCAAAGACTTCGCCGGGCTGATCCCGAGACCTTCCGCACCAGAAAGGGCTCTGAGATGGCTCTTGGATGCTCTTCTCCGTCGGGGAGTGACCCTGGATTTGGAGAAGCCGCTGACGTGGCACTCATTCCGAGTGTTCATCCCGGACTGCGCTTTCCAGATGGGCTCCCCCGGGAGCGCCGCATGTACTTAGGCAACTGGCTCACAGAGAGCACAGCAGACGTCTATGTGCGGGAGAAGCGCAATGTCGTTGTGGAGATTTGGGGCCAGGTAGCGCAGAAGGTCCCCAACCTGAACCTCGGGCCAGGCAGGGAACGCAGGGAGGACTTGAACCACCCGGACTGGGCGGACCCGCTCCCGCCGCCAGCAGTGGAAATCACGGATGCGGGACCGGACGGCCACAAGGACCAAACTGAAGGGGAAGGGGAGGCGTCCCCCACGGTACCTCAGGGAGCGCACCATCGACTCGCTCATGGTCATTGGTGGAACAGGGACCCGAGGACACACCAGTGAAGGCCAAGGACCTGTTTCCCACCACCCCGGACTTCCCCCTTCGTGTTGTTGCGGCAGTCAAACGCACAGGCAACGCCGGCCAGGCCAGAATCCACCTGCTGAATGACGAAGGCACGGCTGTGGGGTGCGGGTGGCGACCGGCGGCCTCCAAGATCCAGGAGCTCTCCGTGCTGGACTACATGTCGGAGCCAGAGGCCTATGGCAAGTGCGAACGCTGCTTCAAGAGGTACGGCTTCCCGGCGGACTGGGTACTGGAGCCTGCGGAGGTCCCCACACTGCAGGAGGACTCGGACTCCTCGGCGGACTCGGGCTCTGAAACGGATGACTCGGTGGACACCCAGTCGGAGACCGAGGTGGTGGCCCTACCTTTGGAAGCCTAGGTGCCCCCGGCCCTGGCGACCTGAGGGGGAGGCCAAGGACAGGGCTCTGGCCAGGGCCCTCAGCACAGACTGGCATCCTTCGGAAATGGCGGGTGTGCCAGACTGTCCTTCGGAAATGGCGCTATCAGTCTGCACACCCGTTCTTCAGTTTTTGAGAGTTTGTGGTGGGTGGCCCATGGGGCCCACCCAGCCGTAGACATCTGACAGGGGAAGATGAGTCCCTGGCACCAACACATTGCTTGGATAAAAGAGTTATCGCTTGCTTGTGTGGTGCCGTTTGGTTAGCTTACATACACTTTGTTAATGTTGAAACGCATGTGGAAACATGAACTGTGTGTGGAATGCTTGACCACAATGGCATGTGCCATTTTGGCTCAAGCATTGTTCTGGGTTCCTGGAACCCAAGCTGATTGAAAACCCACCCACCCACACCAAGGTAAGAGGTCATGGCTGCGGCGCCCGCCAAACCACCGGAGGAGGTCCCAGCCGCGATCAAGGAAGACGTGGCGAAGTTGCAGAAGCCACTGGCGGCCATCTTGGTGGGCAAGGAAATCCCCTGGGTCATCCAAGCGGCACTGGGCGCATCGGGCTACGTCACGGTGGAAGACCTGGCGGATCGCTGGAACACCCCGGCTGCGGCCAGGGAAAATGGTCCCCGGGACCTGGGATTCCAGGATGGAGAGAATGGATTCAACGCCCAGACCTCGGCCTTCACGGCAATGCGCCTCCTTCAGGCAGTACGGGTGGCAGCAAACTTGGTCAGGGGGGGCAACCCCTGGGGTTTCCGTGTGTTCTTTGTCCGACCCACTGGTCGTCTGGCCCTGGGCTTGCTGCTTGCCCTGACGGTTCTGCCCGCCCTTGGAACGCCCCTTGCTGGGCGGATCCCCACCTCTGGGTCTCTCTGGGGGTTCTTCCCACTGCCTCGGTGGGTGCGGGGGAAAAGGGTGCTTCCGCCCTTCTGGAGTGCCCTGGCTGGATCCACTCCCTTTCTTCGGTGGAGGGGCTTCCGGGGCCGGTGGCACCCTGGAGAAGTCCCCTCCCACCTGCAGCCGTCCTGGCCTCCCCAACTCTGTCTGCCTTCCGCTGTGGCTCTGGTGGGATTGGCTCTCCCCCGCTGTGTGCGCTCTCGCACTGGTGGCCTGTGATCCCTTCGGAGACCAGGCGCCCATGGCACCCTGAGTGGCCTCCTGTGGCACATGCTTCGCTGGGGTGGGATCGACCGCATGATCCAGGGCATTTGTTGTGAAGGTGATGATCCCTGCAGTACGCCACCCCTTTGGGATTCTTGAAAGCCCAGTGGTCTGGCCATGGGGTCGAGGAGGTGTTGGGGGACTTCCCTTTGCCGCCCTTGCCCTTCGGCTTGGAATGGGTAGGCCCCGAGGACCAAGATCCTTTTCCCCCCTTCTTGGGCTTCTCCCACTGAGTCTGCCACACCTTGGGTGCCTTGCTCTTGCTCTTCCCCTTCGTCGGCGCCCTGTTGAGGTGCTCATAGACCTCCCGTTGCCAGAAGAGGAAGTCGCCCCTGATGTTCTTGAGGGCTTCGGAGAGAGTGGTGCCCTGGTGCACCATCTCGTGAATCTTGCGCCATGCATTGCGCTCTGCAAACAGCAAGGTGGTGTCGCTCGGGGGAGGTTTCCTGCCGGCTATGTCCTCCCCATAGAACCAGGCATACCAGTCATCCAACTCCTCCTTGGTGACCCTCAGGTTGCCAAATTGCGGCAGTGCTGCCGTGCACATCAGGAGCGTCGTCCTGAAGGTTAGGTGCAACCGTTCCAGCTGGCGCCGAGATGTAGGGTGGCTCCTCACCTCTTCTTCATCCTCCCTGTCCCAGCCGTCCACCGTGATCTTCTTGTGGGTGGATGAAGGGCGTTCCCCTTCTTCCGGGAGCGCGCTCACGATGTGTTTTGCCGGGATGTAGCCCAATTCGCCCTTGGCAATCATGCGCCATTGCTTCTTGAGGTAGCCATCACTACCCTGGAATTCCAACCTCGGCTTCGGGGCCCCATGCGTGGCCACGTAAGCATCTTCCAGCTGGCGCCTGTCACACAGGACTTCTAAGGGAGCCTTTATCGGGCCCGCATGGCCCGCCGGGTGGTCACCCTGGGGACAAGCCCCACCTTCCCCTGGATGCAAGACACCCCGCGGAAAGACTGAGGTCCAGACTAAGGTGGACGCCACGACCGGTGCCGGAGTCGTCGAAGCCGACCCTCATCCTGCTGTACGCTGGGAAGGACGACGCGGGGGCCCTGGATGCCCGGCCTTCTCGGAGTACATTTGGGCAGTGGACATTAGGCGAAAGGGTGGCGATCTTGGACATGACATGCTGGGAGACTGTTTCCACAGCTTAACACAACACGGAAATGGTAGATAGTAGATATCCATACATACGTACGTAGTTCAAATAATGTATACAAATAATGGGAATCGGTTGTTATTCATATAAATGTATGAGCTGACTATCTTAATGTTTGATGCCATAAATAACGTGTTGTTTGTGTCAAACTACAACTTTACATACATGATACATATATATATATATATACATATATGTATGTATATACATATATCTTAAATATGTTGTGTAGATTCATCCAGCCAAAAATCGAGTAAGCCACCAAACAGAAGATAGAGTCAGGCAGCAGAATCTCGCCCGCCCACAGCCCAGCGCCACAGTTCGCCTCTCCCCCACGCCGCCGCTGGCTGCCTGTCTTCCCACTCGACGGCGCGAGCTTGTCTTCCTGAGCGTTGGCGCGATGATGGGCGACGTCCAGACTGTTGCGTGCTGGTGCTTGGGGGTTAGGGGTGCGGGGTGGGTTGGTAAGTGAATGGAGGTGGGGTGGGGAAGGGGGGCGCGGTTGGCCGGCGCTCCCGGGCGGGCGGGACGGTTCACATGTGTTTGTCCCCAGCAGCTGAAAGCTGTGGGGTCTCAGCCCAGATAGGCTCCGGGGTGGTGCGGGGTGGCCCACAGGTAAGGTTCCACGAGGGTTCCACCAGGGTTCCACCAGGGTTCAACCATGTTTCCAAGAGGGTTCCACAAGGTTCTCCGAGGGCTGCAAGGAGGCGCGAGCACCAAAAAAGAGCACCGCATGCTGTTGGAGCTGTTGGAGATATCACCTGAGCTTATTTTGTTGCGGACGCCTACTTGCTTAGGATATGTGTGTGTGGCAAATCATCTCCAATCACGGGCCGGTTGCATTTTTGGTGCCTTGCGGCCTCGCGCACCTCGCTTGCCCGAAGCTGTGATGGAAAGAAAAAACAGCTGAAACAAAAGTTAGACATCCGGGTCCAGTGGCGTCCCCTCGGAGGTGGATTGGCAAAATGGAGGGGAATGAGTTTCGGAGTCTCCATTCGCCTTTTTGGCACGATGGTAAGACTGGATCCTGGCGACGACGAGTGTCGGTGGGCCCCGGCATGACACCCCCGCCCGGGAGCGGCTAATACCCACGGGTCGCGCGTGGGGGGGACCAGGAAGCCCGATAGCGCGTCTGGCCGAGCGTAGGCGCCCCCGAATTTTGATCAGCTCCACGGAGCCTCTTGGTGTGCCGGGGCGGGTCCAGAGGACCCGGCGCATTTGCCCCGGCAGGTGCAGACGTGGTGAGCTCTGCTGAGGCTTCTGCTGGTGTACCCCGCACGCATTCACACCGTCAAAGGCTTGTTGAGGGGACGTGCGGGGCTGACGAGCACCCCTCAACGCTTGGCCTGTGAATGTGGCGAAACACCTACGAAATGCTGTCCCATCCCGTCGGTGCCAACAAACGCTGCACACAGCCCGCTGCACACAGCCCGCTGCACACAGCCCCCGACACTCTTCAGATTTGTCCTCACTTGCATTCAATGTTTGTTGCTCAAGCCCCATTCGATATTGTCGTCATGTTAGTTGTACTATCAAGTGATTGGTCCATCAGGCCTCGGGATGCACATCGAATGCGAAGGGTGAAAGCTGGCAACTCGGTGTAAGGTGGAACAAGCACAGGGTGCCCATAGTTTCCCTTCTCGGTTGTTTGCTTTAAACAACTTGTTGGCCCATTTCAGGTGGGTTTTCCTTGGGTGGGACGCCCAGCCATGATACCTGCTCCAACGCTGGACGGCCATAGACAGCTCCTGGCACGCAGCCTGCTGGCATATGGCGCCTTCGGCTTGCTACAGGTCGGCTACAGGCTTGCCTGCAGCTGGGCGCACGCACGGCAAGCACGGACAAAGCTGAGCCTGGTCACAACAGCGAGTGGGTGAAGTGAGGTGACGTGTAGTGAGGTGAGTTGAGTGAGGGTGAGGGGAGATTGAGAGTGCGGTTGAGGTGAGGTCAGGCGAGATGAGGAGCCTGAGGTGAGTAATTAAGGTGAGGTGAGTGAGTTGCTTTGAGTTGCCTTGAGTTGAGTTGCGTCGAGCCCAGTTGAATTGAGCAGAGTCCAGCGAGCGAGTGAGTGAGAGAGTGAGTGACCAGAAAGCCTTCTTGTTCAGGCAAGGTACCCCTGCATCGCTTGGGTCGGTTCGGCCGCTGTGGAGCCTTGCAAATCTGCATGTTCTTAGTTAGGAATTGCCCCTGTACCAACCACAGCTTGATTGTTGTAGGGAACAGTTGGGATGTGTATCATGGTGTATCCCCATATTCCCTGCTAAGCCAGCAACGGTCCCAAGGAAAGAGACGCCGAGCTCACATGGCCACGAGGGCTTCATGGCGTTTACCCTGGGCCTGGCGAAGAATTTGCATCGAGCTTTGGACTGGCGGCTGGAAGTTTGCAAAGGACGTCTGGGGTCTCGTCCAAAGTTTTTGTGTTTTGCGCTGTGAGGTAGTGGGTAGCGGGTAGCTTGTAGAACGCAGTCATGTTGGCCCCACAAAAATCAACCCCAGTTTATGCAAAAAAGGGGGGTGTCCGATTCTGGGTTTAGTGGGGAATCAGACCACTTTTGGAGGGGAACATCCCCAGATGGATAAACTGGGGTTGATTGATACTGGGTCAACATTAGTGGGTAGCATCATAAAGCAAGGGGCAAGGCAATTTGCCAACACCACGTTTCCTTCCGTAAAGCAAGTCCCAGCAATTTTGAACCAGAACACGGCGATTTGTGAGACGCCTTTGCAAAGCAGATATCGGACTGTTTCGTTTCAGGAGCCATGTTGTTCTCAGCAAAATAGCCTGAAAGTGTTGGCGCAGGAAAACAGGTTAGGTTCTAAAGGTGCAACATCGCAGGGTTTCGTCCTGCCGGTTTTGACGCGCTGCGAAGGACTCCCCGTTTGCAAGAACTGGGGCTTCCCGTGGAGCTGCATGCTGGGCAACATATTCATCAACAACCCTGAGGGCGTCCGACATATTTTGAAGGATGAGTTTCAAAAGTACAGCAAAGCGATTCCTTCCCTGGACCCTTTCATAATCTATTTCAATGAGTTCATGGGCAGCGGTATTTTCACCGTGCTCCATGGGCTGGGGTCTGTTGACAATGGTCAGCGCTGGTTGCAGATGCGCAAGACGTCAGCTCAGATGTTCAACCGCAAGAACTTCAACACTTTGATGCAGGAAGTCTTTGTCACCAAGGCTGACGCTCTGCGAGAGTGGTTGGAAGGATTTGCAGATGCCGAGCCCGTGGACATACAAAAGGGGTTTTTCAACTTCACCATGGACAGCATCATGAACATCTTCTTCGGTGAGGACGTGAGCTCGCAAACAGGGGATCACAACCCATACGGCCAGGCCTTCGATGAGGCACATGAAGCCCTGTTTGTCCACACCGTCAACTCTTTGGCCTTCAACACATTCGCCATGACACTTCTCCCATGGCCGTTTGGTGGAGCACATGGACTTGCCAGGAAGTTCCATGATTTCGCCTCACCGATGTATTGGAGATTCAGGAAAGCTTTGCGGATTCTAGATGCAGAGGCTCATCGCATGGTTCAGAATTGTCGGATCGATGCGAGCTTGTCCCAAAGGCGTGACTTGCTGGCACTGTTCCTGCAAGCAGAGGAGGAGCATGGCTACTCCGAAGGCTTTCTGAAGGAAATGGTGTTGAATCTGATTATCGCAGGGCGCGACACTACTGCTTGCGCTCTATCCTGGATGTTTGTGGAGCTGGCCCGAAATCCTGCGGTACAGAGCCGTTTGCGCGATGAAATCGATGAGAAGTTGCCTTCCGACGCAAATTTGGATATGCAGACCTTGGCACATGGCAAGCTGCCCTACTTGCATGGAGTTCTGTATGAGACGCTGAGATTGTGGCCACCCGTCCCCTTCGATTCCAAAATGACTTATGCTGACGACGTCTTGCCTGATGGGACCCAAGTGTCCAAGGGCATCACGGTGGTGTTTTCCCCATACATCCTTGCCCGAGATGGGGAGGCTCAGAGTCCAATTTTCAATTTTTGACCTTTTGATTTAATCCACAAGTCCCACTTCCCGCCTGGGGGCAGTGGGTTTTTCCCTCGGTAAGGAAAGGTACCCGGATCCGCTGGCCTTTAAGCCGGAGAGGTGGATCCCGTTCTCGGCACCCTCCCCCTTCGAGTTTCCGGTCTTCCAGGCTGGGCCCAGGATTTGCCTCGGCATCTCGGTGCGGATGGCACGCGCTTAAACCTCGGTGACCTAGAGGAAGCCAGAAAGAAACAAGCCTCAAAAAGGAGCCGGATGGACTTAGGAGACATCACTCAAGTTCGGTTAAAATCGCTCACGCCAAAAAACGGTCGCTCACGGAAACAACAACAGAAGAGCGTTCACAGCAGTTTTACGCGAGTTTCCCTGCCCCCCCGAGTTTTCCGCTCAGAATTTGTCCAGCATGGTCAGTGCCAAGGTATGGACATGGCCATCTTCGAGGCCAAGGTGGCCGCGGTTCAGCTGCTCAGGCACCTCGAATTCGACCTGGCGCCGGGCCAAAGGACCGGACACACATGGAAAGCTTTCGCAGGCCGCAGATGTCCCTTTTGGTCGCGGGTCTGAACCTCCCTTGAACTTTAAAAAGAAGTGTCCCTTTCAGTGGGAGGATGCTTTAGGGTGAATAACATTAACCCTGTGTCACCGGAAAAAGGAAAGTGCAGACCCCAAGTTTGTCTTTTGTCTTCCTTGCAGACTAAGACAAGGCAGACATGGTTATATGTGAAGTTATGTTATTGTTGTTTTGTTGCAGCCATGGCAATCAGGATTGGATATGGCACAAAGATCACAATGAATGTGCGTAATGGAGACAAGGATGAATTGTTGGTCTGCGTGCGGCGGCGGCATTGACTTAAACAACCACAAATACTGTGAAATCAAGTTGGATACATATATATATACTAAAACAATCAAATCAAACAAAAATATTAAGATATATATTATGATTATAATATATTGATGGAATATTAATTATATTAAGAATTTATGAAATTGATAAATTGGAAAATATTATTTATTTTAAATATTAATTTTAAATAGAATTGGTTTCTTTTAAAATATAAATTATATAAAATGTATGGAATAAATTATTTTGTAATTGCATTATATTATAGAAATAATTTAGAATTGAATATTAATATTTGGTTTAAATAATATTAATAATTATATTAATAAACAATATTGTGTTATGAAAAATAGAAGAAGAATAAATGGGAATAAACATATATTATTTTATAGACTACATATTATAATATTGATATTAATTGAATATTGATTAATTATATTTAAAATAATAAATATTTTAAAATGAATCGGTATGATCTCGGGGTTATATTTATTATGTGTTGAATTAGATAAAAATATAGATTTATTGGGATCTTATTTATAGTTTATCTTATTGGGGGATATGGAATTTGAAAGCGAGGTGGAGGTTAAGAATTATTATATTTGAGTTGTTTGTAAAGTTTCGGATATTTATTTTTCTTATGGGAAAAACAAGAAAATACTTGAATGAAACGAAGGCTTGGATTTTAAATGAGGTTGTGGAATTTCTTGTTTCTATCATTAATTGATTATATGTGTTTTCTTTTTTGTTTCGCGGAATATTTTATTTTTTTATTTTTTAATACGGTCCGGATTTTTTGAATATTTATCTCTTTTTTTCCTGGATTTTTGCTTAAGATTTTTGTTTGCTTGGCTAAAATTTCTCATTTTTGTTAGGATTTGTTAATTTTCCGAAAAAATATTGGGTTAAATTTCCGGGAAATTTTGGGATTTGTTTGGATCGAAATTTCTCGAAATGTTTGTATTCTTTCTTTCCCTTTTCGCCCCCTCGTTGTTTGTTGTTTTTTTTATTGTATGTTTGTTGTTGTTTTTTCTCTTCCTATTTCTACTTCTCTCTTTTTTTCCCTTTTCTCTCTTTCTTTTTTTTTTTTTTTTCTCTCTCTCTCTCTTTTTGTTGTTTTATTATTTTCTAATCTCTCTGTTTTTTGTTTATTTATTTTCTTTTTTTTTTTTGCCGAAAGCATGGCGAAGGGTTCTTCCGCTGGGTTCACTTGTCATTGCAAGGAGTCATTGCAAGGAGTCATTACAAGGAGTCATGGCAAGGAGTCATTGCAAAGAGCCATGGCAAGGAGTTATGGCAAGGAATCATTGCAAGGAATCATTGTGTCATGGCAAAGAGTTATTGTAAGGAGTTATTGCAAGGAATTATTGAAAGGAGTCATTATAAGGAGTCATTGCGAGGCATTATGGCAAGGATTGCAACTTGCACTTAACTCCGTGCACTTACAACTTGCACTTGACTCCTTACACTTGCAACTTGCACTTGACTCCATGTACTTGTAATTTGTATTTGATTCCGTGCACTTGGCTCCTTGCACTTGGCTCCTTGCATTTGTAACTTACACTTAACTCCGTGCATTTGCGATTTGCACTTGATTCCATGCACTTGGCTCCTTGCAACTTGCAATGGCTTTTATGATTCCTTACAATGATTCCTTGTAATGACTCCTTATAATAATTCCTTGCCATGACTCCTTGCAATGATTCCTTGCAATAATTCCTTGAAACAAGTAAGGAGTGAAGTGCAAGTTGTAAGTATAAGGAATCAAATGCAATTAATTTGCGAAAAATTAAAATCTCTTCTTAGGGCGGCGGGGTAGTGCCGACGACACTACACGAAAATCGACCCTTTGCGGGGATTGGCGTGGTTGAGGTGCAAAAACCCATGGTTTTTTTCCGATTTCCAACATGCCCGCGCGACCCTTTGCGGTGATCGGCGTGGTCGAGATGCAAAAACCCATGATTTTTTGTGATTACCAACATGCCCGTACGACCCTCTGCGGGGATCGGCGTGGTCGAGGTGCAAAAATTTATGTTTTTTTTCGATTTTTGCGGTGCTCGTGCAACCCTCTACGAGGATCGGCGTAATCGAGGTGCAAAAACCCATGGTTTTTTGCGATTTTTGCGGTGTCCGCGCAACCCTCTGCGAGGATCGGCGTGGTCGAGGTGCAAAAATTCGAGTTTTTTTGCGATTTTTGCGGCGCTTGCGCAACCCTCTCTAGGAGTTGGCGTGGTCGAGGTGCAAAAATTCGAGGTTTTTTGCGACTTTTGTTCTTCGAATTGATCCTCGGGAATTGTCTCGTGGTTCGGGCGCTTGGTCCCGGAATCGGCGGGTCCCGGGTTCGATTCCTCCCCAGTCCGCGGGCGGGCGTCGCAAGATGCAACTTGTATTTTAAAGCAACTTGTGCAGAGCAACTTGCGTAGAGCAGCAACTTACGCAGAGCCAGTTACATAGAACAACTTGCGCAGACCAACTTGCACCGGCCAGTTTCCGCAGAGCGCTTTGCCTAGAGCATCCTACGCAGAGCAACTTATGCAGAGCAACTTGCGCAGAGCAACTTGCACAGAGCAGCTTGTACAGAGCAACTTGTAGGGAGCGTAATTTGCACAGAGCAACTTGTAGGGAGCCACTTGCAGGGACCAACTTGCCGGAGTAACTTACGCGGAGCAATTTGCACAGAGCAACTTACACAATTTAACTTGTATAGAGAAATTTACATAGACTAACTTACACCGACCAATTTGCGCAGAGCACCTTGCCTGGTGCTGTCTCGTGCTTGCTTCACAAATGCTTCGTATAGGGATATAACGTTGGGCCGACCTCGTTTGCGATATTCTGCTTTTGGGCCAACCATGGTCTAGTTTGTTTCTCGATTTCTGTGTCTCTTGATGTTATATGTTACTATTCCTTCTTTTTCTCTTTCTCTTTCTTTCTTTGTAATGTGTTGCTTTTTCTCTCTCTTTATTTCTCTTTTTCTTTTTGTTTTATATTGCTTGTCGCTAATTATTCGTCGGTGCATAGCTGTCGCTATTTGCTTGTCTTTTGATATTTGTTTTATTTATAAGCCGGTGCGGTCTTGGGGGTCGTATTTTTCGTGTTCTGTAGAACCATTATAGCGATATTCCGACCGAATCGTCGTGTTTGAAGTGGTTACCCCGCTTCGTCGGTTTTTTCTCCGCGGCATAATGTGTTGTTTCTTGGTGTGGCCCGGAAGTTCTTAGTTTTTTGTCGAATTTTCGAAGGTTGTTTTTTAAATTTTCGCTCATGGTATTTTGGCAAATACCCGGCACGGATTTTTCGAATAATTTCGTCGGACAAGTTCCCAAATTTCCCCGAAATTTGGCCCGGTATTTTTTTTCTTAGAAAACCGCCAAATTCTGCAAAAATTTTCTAGGGTAACGTCCGGAAATCTAAGAGTTGCATCGCCAGAAGCGACCCAAAATTCGGGAAAATTTGGCCGGATTACGCCACGAGAATTATAAATAAAATTTGTTAAAACCCCCGCGAAATTTCGACAAAATTTCGGGATCTTCCAGGCCGTGCAAAGAGGCAGCGAGAAAAGACCGGGACAAACATAATCACTCGCCGCAAGCATTACGATTCGGCCGGAGCACCGCTACAATAATTTGTCGGTAAACGGGAAATGCGACCATAATATTTAGATCTAATAGATTTAATAGTGTTTATCTATGTTTCTAGTTTCTAAATCTTTTTTCTTTATTTAAATAAGTAATCAATTTCCTATAATCAATTTTCTATTTTATAATCATATCTTAATATGTAATTATTATTATCTTCTTATCTATATTTTATTATCTTTTTATTTAATTTTTTTTTATTATTTTAGATATGTTTGGAAATATATAAAAAGTCATGGCAAGGAGTCATTGCAAGGAGCCATGGCAAAGAGTTATGGCAAGGAATCATTACAAGGAATCATTGCAAAGAATCATTGTAAAGAGTCATAATAAAGAATCATTGTAAAGAATTATTACAAAGAATTATTATAAAGAATCATTATAAAGAATTATGGCAAGCATCCATGTACTTACAATTTGCATTTAACTACTCCTTACACTTAACTCCATATACTTGCAACTTGCACTTAATTCCGTGCACTTAGCTCCTTACACTTGGTTCCTTGCATTTGTAACTTACACTTAACTCCGTGCACTTGCGATTTACATTTGGTTCCATGCACTTAGCTCCTTGCAACTTGCAATGGTTTTTATGATTCCTTGCAATAATTCCTTGTAATGACTCCTTACAATAATTCCTTGCCATAACTCCTTGCAATAACTCCTTGCAATGACTCCTTAAAACAAGTAAGGAGTGAAGTGCAAGTTGCAAGTGTAAAAAATCAAGTGCAATTAATTTGCGAAGAATTAAAATCTCTTCTTAGGGCGGCGGGGTAGTGCCGACGACACTACACGAAAATCGACCCTTTGCGGGGATTAGCGTGGTTAAGGTGCAAAAACCCATGGTTTTTTTCCGATTTCCAACATGCCCGCGCGACCCTTTGCGGTGATCGGCGTGGTCGAGATGCAAAAACCCATGATTTTTTGTGATTACCAACATGCCCGTACGACCCTCTGCGGGGATCGGCGTGGTCGAGGTGCAAAAATTTATGTTTTTTTTTCGATTTTTGCGGTGCTCGTGCAACCCTTTACGAGGATCGGCGTGGTCGAGGTGCAAAAACCCATGGTTTTTTGCGATTTTTGCGGTGTCCGCGCAACCCTCTGCGAGGATCGGCGTGGTCGAGGTGCAAAAATTCGAGGTTTTTTGCGATTTCTGCGGCGCTTGCGTAACCCTCTCTGGGAATTAGCGTGGTCGAGGTGCAAAAATTCGAGGTTTTTGGCGACTTTTGTTCTTCGAACTGATCCTCGGGAATTGTCTCGTGGTTCGCGCGCTTGCTCCCGGAATCGGCGGGTCCCGGGTTCGATTCCTCCCCAGTCTGCGGGCGGGCGTCGCAAGATGCAATTTGCATTTTAAAGCAACTTGTGTAGAGCAACTTGCGCAGAGCAACTTGCGCAGAGCAAGTTGCATAGAACAACTTGCGCAGAC